GTTTTTTCCATCGTTTCTCACCAGTGCAGCTGCGACGATATTGAACGATTTATCAATCATGGTAGTTGGATAATAATTACACGAGCCATCGAGTCGTGAGAAAATATTTTAGCCGGTTCGAGAATAGATATCTTAATTCACCTTCCTAATGTTATCAATCGCGTTAATTATTCCGCGTGTACAATCGTTCAATCGCGTTTCAAGCACAGCTTTCGATAGCACGCATATTCACTCGTATAGCGATCGAATGTTATATTATTCATGATCGTAGTTTCCAAACGTTTCTTCTTTCTTAAACTCGTCGCGTACCGCCACTTTACGTAATTATTCTGTCTAATTATTCTATCTAGTTAATCGATATTTTACTTCTTTAACAACCTGCTAGAAAATTTTACTACTCTTCCATAAATATGGTAAATGAATCATTAATCCATCGCAGTCGAGAACGTCGCGTGATATCTAAATTGCCAATTTCTATTTAATACTTCTGTTTTAATCATTATTTTCGAATTCTTTATTTTTCCGTCCATTCTTTCGAGCATTTAATGCTTTCTTGGACAATAACTTGTTCCCACCGACTTCAAATGAAAATCTAAGAACAGATTGATATTTTGCTTTGATACATTTAATACTGTCCTTCGATTCTATTCTACAAAGACACAGCGAAAGTTGCAAAATTTCAAAATACGTTGATCAATTATTCCGCATGTTTCAAGCGTGTTTCGATCCTTCATTTCCTCGTTTCACGCCCGTGCCAAAAGCCTTCCCCTCCCATCGAATAAATCTCCAATTCGCAAACGTCCAGTGTCCAGGCGAACGAACCAAATTGTCCCGATTCAATCGTGTTTCGTCACTGATCGTCAGTCTTTTTTTTTATTTTTTATTTTTTTTTTTTTTTTTTTTTGTTTCTCGGATGGGTTCCAGGCGACCTGAGGCTGCCAGGACCGGGGCCAGGGCCGGTCAGGTGCACCCTGAGGAAGCACAAGCCGAATCGCAAGCCGAGGACGCCGTTCACCACGCAGCAGCTGCTCTCCCTGGAGAAAAAGTTTCGCGAAAAGCAGTACCTAACGATCGCCGAACGGGCGGAATTCTCGTCGTCCCTTCACCTCACGGAAACGCAGGTGAGACCGGTTGGAAGAAATTAATCATTAAGCTCGCAACCGCCGCGAATTACAATTAACCACCGAAGCTTATTTTCTACGCGACTTTGCGACTACGCGTGTAGAGAGAGAAATCTCGTCTGTTTAGTCATCACGCGGAGTATTGCTTCGACGAAGGTTTCATGATCGTAAATTTGTACGTGACCCTCTCGAGTCACCGAGAATAACAGACGCCTCGAACTCGTCATCGTGGAAATTGTCCATTAGGTACCGGAGAATATAGCGAAATATCGTTTAAGTTTAAACGTGCCTGGTATGAGCAAATGGTTCCGATAATGGCAGATTTACTGGCTATCTCCTTTACCTTCTCTCATTAGCTACGATGATTGGGGCTAACGCGCGGAAAACTCAGAGTTCTCGGAGTTGTTTCGCTCTTTTACAACGCGCGTTCCAATTTCATTTCGAACACGGGCTTGCTCGCCGGTTGTTGCTCGCGAAGGTATATTCGAACATTCAGTTGGAAATTTCACGTGCGATTATTTGGAAATTTCATTAACGTGGCTTAATACATGAGACACGACTGTTGAGTTTGAAAACAGACTGTCTGCCGGCAAAAATTATAAAAAACGCAAGCACACATCGCGCACAGTGCTAACAAAGTTTCCAAATGTTTCATTTTCACAAAAATTCTTCTACAAATACCGTCGTTGAAGTTTCAGAGACGCACAACCGAAACTCAAGTGACAAGAGCTCGCTCGAAACGTCCTTACGAACAAGCGAACGAAGTAAAGTAATTTTAATCAATCGTTCGGAGATAATATATATACTAGACGCTTGGAAGTATCGTGGCAGACCTAAGAATACGTAGAATCGGAGCTTATCTTAAAATGCTAAGAAACGATTCTCGGAAACGCGGGAATAGAGAAAGCAGCAGTCGGAGAAGGAAAAAATCGCTCGCGACTCGCACGCAACGAGGCTCTCATTTTCTTCGAAAGCCCATCCAATCGTGAACTTACGATACGCTTGGCCGCAAGGCGTTTATTCGTTCTCCTGCCTGTACTTTCTCGCGATGCAATTTTATTTCTGTTTATGCCCGGGTTCCTCTCGTTCCTCTTTGTTTCGTAATTGCCCGGCCAGGATGCCCGGGATCAAAACGAGCAAATTCTCTCTCGTCTGGCTCTCTCTCGCGCATCAGATACATCACATCGAGGCGGGTAATTGCACACCCTTCTATGGGCTCCGCCGGCAATTAACATGATTGACGTTAATTAAATTGAACGTAATGGAATGATATTATATGTAATTTTTGTATCAGCCGAAATGATCAGCGCTCGTTTGAGCTGGGGGATGCCTTTAAACGACGCCGTTAACGGATCCGTTCGCCCCGAATTTCCTCGTTCAACGCGCGACAACGCGTGCAAGATACTAGTTAAAACCGAATGCAACGAGTTCCCCTCGCTTCCTCGGTTTTTCTATATTTATTTATTTACCGCTCCCGAGAATCGACGATTCTATTCTATTATGGTGTGA